GAGAGGGTGAAGCCAGAATGTTCCCTGGAGTCAAGGATTCTGAAGCTTCATCTGACATACATTGGGCATGTTGCAAGGAGGGACTGGTCCTTGGAGAGGGACATCATGTTTGGGAGAGTGGATGGACGGCACAGGAGAGGAACACCCTCGATGAGATGGATCGATTCTGTGAGTGGAGTGGTGGAAATGAATGTATTTGAGACAGCAAGGTTGGCACAGGATAGAACGGCGTTTAGGGCTTTTGTACATAGGGTCGATACGAGTCGCAAACGACTCGATGGCACATAACAACAACAACAAAACTTAAGAACTGGATGTGTCTTAAGGATGTAAGCTCTGCTAGAAGTCAGAAAATGCTAATATTCTGTTTAGCCAACAGGAAAACTGTAGAGTGACCCAGGTGTGATTGCACTAGCCACATGGCAGAGCATGGAGTAGTTAACGCTACTGGGGCTATTCTCATTCTGCCACATACTTCTGTAGGATCAAAGCAAGTTGTTTAATTGTCCTTCTCTCCTCTCTGTTCATTTATAAAGTGGGAATAAGATAGTATCTCAAATGATTATCACGAGAAGTTTAGAATACATGCTAAAACAGAAACTCTTGGTGAATGTTGATTACTATTACTACAGTTACAGTGTTACTATGTCTCTGCTGATCAGTGCTTTCAGGTTGACTGCTTCAGCTCTTCTTGAGTATGTGGACAACAGAAGGAAACCTTACCCTCAAGTTTCTGCTGGGCCTAAGCCTATTGTTATCGTTGCTATAAGAGTCATCACTTTGAGAATCTTTTTTTTTTCCCCCACTGACTCTACTTTTCCAAGTATGATGTCCCTTTTTAGGGACTAGGCTTACTTGATGGCATTTCTTAATTATATGAGATAAATATCACCATCTTTGCTTTTACGTAATCCTCTGGCTACAGTTCTTCCATGAGAGATTTGTTTGTGCTTTCAACAGTCTGTGTTGTATTCAGTATTCTTTACCAACACTGCAAGGAAAGGGCATCAGTTCTTCTTGGATTTCATTTTCTTGTTAACTGTTTAATGTTCCCCTGCATCTGAAGCAATGGATACATCCCCTGTTGGACACTCTACAGCTAACAGAAAATTTGGAAGCTTGAATTGGTCACCCAGAGATGCCTCAAAAGCAAAGCTTAGGATGAACTTCTGTAAAAATCAGCCCTTGAAGTCTGTAGAGCACACGTCTGCAGGATGTCACCATGAGCCAAAGGTGATAACAGCAACCAGTTTCGGTAGAGGATTTCAGCACATGATCTTATGAACATGGCTTTTAATAAAGTTAGCCCTATTAAAATGCAGCACAATTCCTGGTCTTTTGGAAGTAGTCTAGTATGAACTTTTCCTTAGTGACAGTTCCCCTACTGAGTCTCTTCACAGTCATCTTCCCATTCCTCGGTGAATATTCTTTTCTAATCTCAGGGTGACTTGTCTCCTTAAAACAACCACTTAATGAATGAGTCGCCCATTATGTTTATAAAACAAAAAGCCCATTGTTGTCAAGCCATTTCCAGTTCATTGCAACCCTAGAGCAGAGTAGAACTGTCCTGTAGGATTTCCAAGGCTATACATTTAACTTGGACATTTTTATAGAAGTAGACTTCTGCATCTTTCTCCTGCAGAACCACTGGTGGCTCAGAACCATAAGACTTTCTGTTATCGTCGGGTACTTAACCACTGTGCCACCAGGCCTCTTCTATTATAATTTCTCAGTAGTTAAATAATTACTCTTGAAAATTTTGTCTGAAAAGTAGAATTGCTTTCAAAGTAGTTCTTAAAATAATAAGCTAAGAAATAAAAAACCCAAACCTACCAACAATTTCAAGGGAGCCCTGGTGACCTAGTGACAAGAAGCTGTGCTACAATCCCAGAGACATTTGTATATACTAGCTGCTCTGTGGGATAAAGATAAGCAGTCTCCTCCCATGTGATTAAGTGCCTAGGAAAACCCACTGGAGGGTCAGCTTTTGATTGGTTCCAACTTTCCGGTATACAACAGCAACAACAACTATCATCAAATCAGTACTCAGTATCCAATCTGTGAGACAGCCAGTCTTTACTGGAGGAGACTGCTTATCTTTCTCCTACTTATCTTTCTCGAACCATTGACCTTTCACTTGGCAGTCCAGCCAACACCAGTACAACACCACAAGAACTCTTTTGTTTTTAAAAAAATAGATTAATTTTGTCATTAAAGTAGTAAATTAGTCCATAGATTGATGAGAAGGAGAAGCGGGGAAGAGTCAAGAGATAATGTTATACTTTAGTGTATTTATTTATTTTTTATGGAATTATTTATTCAGACATTCACCAAGTACTTCTGTATGGTGCCTGGATGTATACCAGGAACCTGGTATTGCAGTGGAGACACAGTATCTGCCAGCATGATGTTTACCATCTCAGACACATTTAGAACCTCTGTGTCTGTGGGTGGTAGGGACAACTAGTCCCCCAGTATATTAGATCTTAGGCCACAGTAGTTATGAGTGAAGATGCCCTGGTGGCTAAAGGTTGGGCTGCTAACTCTTAGGTCTTCAGTTAGAACCCACCAAGCTGCTCCTTGAGAAACACATGAAGTAGCCTCCTCCTGTTAGGTTTAGAGCCTTAGAAACCTGATAGAGAGTAGCCATGGTCACAATTTACTCTGTAGCTGTGTTTTTTTTTATGGGTTTTTAATGGGTGTTTCCCCCAACCCCCTCCCAGTTTTAGTTACGAGCAAGGAGCTCTAGGGGTGTGGTAGTTAATACCCTGCTGCTAGCTAAAAAGGCTGGTGATTTGGACCTGTTCTGCAGGATTAAGATATCAGAGTCAGCTTCCATCACAATTAAAAATTTAAGAACAAATCCCAAGCCTGTTGCCTTTGAATCAGTTCCAACTCCTCACAACCCTGTAGAAAAGAATAGAACTGCCCTGTTGAAGTTCCAAGGTGGAAGCTGACTGCGATATGAAAACATTGTAGTTAAAGAGTAGAAGAATTTGTTCCAGGTTACATTTCCAGAATGTGATATGATGGGCCAAGATTTAGTACTCAATACTAAATCCAAATTAAAAAACAAGAGTATTGAAATGTCCTCTCACATACTTTGAGCCCGTTGTCAGGAGGGAAAGATCAGTGAAAGAGAAGGCCCTCATGGCGGTGAACTGACAAAGTGGTTCCAACAGTGAGTTTAAGCATGGCAGAGGATGGCACAGAATAGGGCAGGATGTGCACCTGTTGATCATGGGGTCTCTGTGAGTTGTGGTCAGTTCAGTGGCACCTAACAATATCTTAAACTCATTCCAAGTCACTATGGCCCTCATAGTGGTTTTTCAAGGCTGTTGTCTTTACAGAAGGAGCCCTGGTGGCACAGTGGTTCCGTGTTCAACCACTGACTGCAAACTATAATATGAATACTACTTCCTAGAGTTAACTCAAGATTGAGGTTATGCTTGTCTATGCTTCCATAAAACTGAGCACCTAAGAAGTGCTCAGTAACTTAGGTGTGGCTGATTTTATTTATTTATTTATTTTTAATATTTTTGTTTGTTTGTTTGTTTTTTAATACCAGAGGCAAATCTTATCTTGGAGGTGAATTTGAGGCAGCTGCTAAGAATAGCCTTATATGTAGGTTTCTAGTATTTGGAGAGAACTCTTGCCAAAGCTTTAGAGTTTGTTTGCTTGTTTGTTAAAAGTCATACCCTGCCAATTTCCAAAAAGGATTGTCGCTAGCTGTCTGGCTTCTGAGTGTGTTCAGTTGTGAGGTAATGGAAAAAACACTGAACTCGAACTGAGGTGACCTAGAGCACCAGCTGACGCTCGTCTGCCAGCTGTGTGATCCCAGGTCATCTCTCTCTCTCAGATGCTTGGTCTCTTCAGATTTCTGAGAATTGATATATAATCACTAAAGTGTCCTAAATTTGAAAATTCTGTTCTCATTGGAAAGATCTAGAACCTGATAGGAATTGAGTCTTGCTGTAGAATGGCGTAATCAACAGACTCTTCAGAGAAGACATCTAGTGTATGGTCCATTCAAATGCTTTCCTTTGCTGAAACCTCCAAGCAAGCATCCTTCAAGCTGAGAGTCAGTCACTGTAGAATACAACATTACATCTTTATAGTCAGTCTTGTTTTGGTGACAGTGATCTTACAGAAGGTACTTTTTGTAGGTTCTTTATCACATTTTGTAGACCTTTATCACATTTATGCTTTTGGAACATATTTCAAGTTATTATGATGTATTTCTGATAAAGGTGTAGTAGTGTCTAGTGTCTCCTGTCTCTATTCAAGGGGAAGCTATTTGTGGTTGCTGCTATTTGTGGTGTGGTTTTTTCATTTGTTCTGTTTTTGCATGGCAAGAGTTACTTTGTTTTTGTTGTGTGCCGTCTAGTCAGAACTGCCTCATCGCTGATCATCCACTGGATTTTCAGAGGCTTTTAATCACACAAGCAGAGATTACCCATCTTTCTCCTGTAGAGCAGCTGTTGGATGATTAGATATGGATAAATAAAGATTAATAGAAACATACTTTTAGGAGATCAGAAAGGTTAAACTCTAAAAATGTGCAATAGCTGGATGCTTCTTAACTTTTTACGCAAATAAAAGGGGGGATCTGGAATTCTAATTAACTTTATCATGCCTGAAAAATTAGGTACTCTCTTTCCCTGAGTTGCAGGTCTTAGTTCTAATTTGCTAATTAGCTATTGTTGGGATTAGACTTGGACATAGTTTTAAGTTCAGTTTTCATGTGATGTTGAAACAAGAACACAGTCATCAGTTCTGACTTTTACAGAATTTCTTTTCTCCATCATTTTTTTTCCTCCCTCATGTGACAGTGAAACGTCTGTAAGGATATTTGAAAATTGGTTGTTATTTATTAGATATTTAAAATTAATAAACCAGTAAGTTTACATTACCTTTCAGTTGAAAGGATAGAATAGCGTATTTGTTTTTCAGTGTTATTTTGTGCAGCAAAGATATAATGAATCACCTTTGTTTTGCAGTTACTTCGAGAGCTTAAGCATCCAAACGTCATCTCTCTTCAAAAGGTGTTTCTGTCTCATGCTGATAGGAAGGTGTGGCTTCTGTTTGACTACGCTGAGCATGACCTCTGGGTAAGGTGATTGCTGACTGACTGAGCTCTTGCTTTTCAGTCATGGATGGTTGAGAGTGCCTAACAGCAGGGAGCTCATCTCCTCTGAGACATCCCTTTGAAAATAGAAGTAACCACACAGAATGTGGTTGATATTACCAAGACTAGAATATTTTCCTTTGTTTTATTGCATTTACTGTCTGCCTTACTTCTTTCTAATAATGAGCTAAGGAAAAGAATAGAATCTAAAGAATGTAAACAACTATCAGTAGTATTGGATTGCTATAGTTTTTGATTAAAAAACCATAACCCTATAAATTATAATGGTTTATTTGGTATAAACTTTAAAACCACTGATTTCCTGTTCTTCTATAAAGTCTTGAGAAGGTGCTGCCATCATGTAGAGGGGAGAAATGTTATATCTGGAACTAGTCTGAAATCTTACTATGATTAAATTTGCTGTTTGCCACAGTAATGGCCCTGAAGCCATAAGTTCCACTGTCCTTAAAATGTAATTCTTTTCCTACCTTTTACAAAGTTGTTCTTAGCAATTACATATTTAAAAAAATTATTTTTAAAATAAATGCAGTCAGAGACGTACAAAATGTTTATTAGTGATATATTGGTTATCTTTCACAATTACTATTCACCATTCTAATGCATTTTTATTTTCATCAGCATTAGTTGAACAGTATACTTACTTGACCTGGGCATTCTCATGAATGACCAGAATTCTTTATGGTAGAGAGCTCTACAGAGTGTTGTGTACCATAGAGTAAGAACCGACCCAGAGCTGACCCTCCAGTGAATTTTCAGAGGCAGGAAATTGTGTGAAAGTTGTTTGCCCATCTTTGTCCCATGTAGCAGTTGATGAACTCAAACCATGTACTTTTGCATTGGCAGCTCATTTCCTTAGCAGTAAGCATTGAGAACTCCCTAACATGAGATTCAGAGCCATTAAAATAAATGCCAGTATCTGTTGTGATTTTTAATTTTTCTTTGCTTATTGACATATTATCAGCATAATTTAGATATCCAGAGAACAACTAAATGCTTAAAGACTTATTTAAATGGAATAATTATTAATTTGTATTATATAATGCAAATAATGATGCTATAGAAAGAAATTATTAGAAAATAATAACTGACACAAACATTTTCCTCTAATATTTTGCAGTTTACAAAGTGGATTGCTTTACTAACTGCTATTTGTAAGAGGCTTGGCTAACATAAAATTTATATTGAATGTAGCAGTTATATTTTTAAAAATCGTAAATGTCATCTTGGACATAAGATTTTCTGATAGCTAACAAAATTTTGAAACATACTCAAAAAACCTGTATCCTAATCACTTTTGTGTGAAGAACACCTGTTAATATACAATAGAGCTTGAAAAATAAGAGTCCAAATGACCTGATCTTATTAACAACTGTATCATTGCTGTGAGCTAGGTGTTTTTGTGATATTTAGTAACGTCTTTAAATAGCTCACTGTGGTTTGCATATTGGCCTACATTTGTCAAATCAGTATAGCAGTCATTTTATTGAAATAAAGAGAAGAAAAGACATACACTATTATCATTCTATCAGTAATTTGACTCAACTTTCAGAAATAGTCAAAACAATTCACATTTTTCATTCAGCTACGTTTCTCAATTTTCTTTACAGAACCTTGAACTAAATAAAATGAGGACAAATTTCAGTTAAACAGGTTAAAAGTAAATTCAACATCAGAATATAGTCAATAGTTTATGAAAGTGTTTTGCTTGTTTCTAGAATTAGACTTATTTATATAGTTTTAACAATTGAAACCTACATGGGTTTCATATGCTTTCGGATTCATAAGAAATATTTTCCTTCTATTCATAGACACTTACTTTGCATGACAAACTGATTTGATCCAAACTTTTAAAAAAAGCAAATGACTTTTTAGAACAAAAAAATAAAACCAAATGTATTGAACTTTTGTCCTGGGTCCACACTAATTATAAAGTAACTATTTTTCTCCCTTTGGTTTTAAACTTCTGTTCTTTTGTTTTAAATGAAATTAAACCGAAGTTCTATTAATTTAAAATTGAGCACTTCCCATGACTCTAAAATGTAAAAATATAATTCAAACTGAAGACATTTTCTAGACAAACTAGCAGAGGGATTTGTAATACATTACAGTATAGCATGGAAGATAGAATTGCCCTCAGTAGGATTTTTAGTAGGCTAGGATTGTAGTATTTAATTTTATACCTAGGTATGTATATTGATTACATTTTAGGAAGTATGTTTCACCTAATATTGTAGACTGTGTAGAGATAGTTTTGTTATCATTAGCTTTATCATCATCTTAATTAATACTCATTTAAACCAGATATTATATATACTCATCACAATTATGTTCTGTACAATATTTTTAATTATGTGGTGTTAATTTATTTAATTTTGAAAAAATTTGAATAAAAGTTTACAAATCACTGGCTTTTATTTAATCAGTTATATATTTTATAACATTTATATTAATAGATTTATTAATTACAGTGTTTCATCAAACTCTGATTACTTGTTATTTGTCTGTTCACCCATCTTATCTATTTATTAGTAAGGGATGTCCCTTCTCCACCCTGCTAATCCTTCAAGATTAATTCTATCTGTATATAACCCTTTTCCTTAGCTTTGGATATTAGTGATATTGGTACCATAATTGTCTTTCCGTGACTGGCTTGTGTCACTCGGCATAATTTGTTCTGTTTTCATCCAAGTTGAGCAGTGTTTCACAATTTCTTGATCTTTTTTTAATGTTCCTTCACGTGAATACACCACAGGTTCTGTAGTCATTTGTCGAATAGTGGACACTTGGTCCTTTGATACAAATCCTTTGATACTGTAAAATAATGCTGCAATAAATGTATTTTTAAGTTCATTTTAATACCAAAAGTTACTTAATATTCTAAAACCCATTCCCTTATTCATTTTCTTATTTTAGTTAGAATTGAAGTAAAAATTGACAGAGTTGAGGAAGTAGTAAATAACAGTTAAAGAATTTTTTAAAAAATCAGATATTTTGCATATCACATATTTATTGCATCATCATTGAACATACATAAAATGAAAGAAATTACCTTACCATACATAGGTTTTTGTTTGTAATTATGAAGCAGTGGTTAAAAAAAGGTTGCATAGAATCTAAGAAAATGTTAGCTGAAGATACGTATATAGGCTTACTTGTACCTCACATACATTTTTGTTTTATTCGTTCTTAAATGGAAAGCTTAAAAATTTTTTTTTAATTGTGCTCTACTTTCATTAAGCTCCAAAACCCAGTGGATCTTCTTCCTAAGGAAGACACAACACACTTAATTTTATCTGAGGGCAGGTGACAAAACAGTTTGGGTTACTGATTGCTTGCACTCTGCTTTGTTTGCCTGCCATTAAATTGAATAAAGGAAAGACTGAGAAGGAGATTATACTAGCAGGCTGCTACTGGCAAGATACAGGTTAATCGTACGGCACATGTACCAGTTAAGATAGCCTTTCTCTTCCCTAGAACTTTTGACTCAGTATTTTTCCCTTTAAAAAGTAGAGCTCCTTTATTCATTTATCATGTTATTCCATACCAGTATTCCTTGTACATTGTGTATCATAGAAAACAGGAAGTTACAATATTAGCCCATAATAGTAAATAACATCATTGGCCTGTTTTGTGTACTGCAATTTCTATTCACTTGCAAATGTAGTCATGAATCCACTATATACAATGCTAAGTATAAAATGTGCACAGGGCTGCACAAGATTGTCTCTAACTTACAGTTATTTCTAACTAACTTCTTGCAATTTAGGAATGCTTTCATGAAAACAAAGACCCCTATCAAGAGAACATGGATATTGTTGAAGCTAGTGTTTACTTGCTTATAAAGTGATTTTTATATATTGCGATTAGAAATAAGTTTTACTGGCTGTTCAGCAACACTGTGCCCGTTGTTGTGTACTGTCAAGTCAGAACTGATCCATAGCTAACCATCAGACAGGTTTTCAGAGGCAATTAATCACATGGAAGGAGAGTGCACACCCTTTGAACCGTATGCCTTCGAGATTGCAGCACAGCTTCTTGCCATTAGTCCAGCAAACCTAAATGTTAGGTGTAAAAGGCTGGTTAATTTTTGTTTGACCTGAATCTTTTATATTTATAAATATTTCTAGTGTGAACTGGCCAGTTATATTTTGTTATTTCTTCATCCTCATTTGTATTTTGCTGACCTGTCTTCATCTTTGCTCTTTTTGTATCTTATGTGCTGTAAATAGGCATTGTATCTGTGTTAACCAGCTAGCCAGCAGTATCTCTTGAAGTTTACTCTGTTGTTTTTACTTTTTCATTTAATTACTACACAATAAAAAAAAAGATTCTGATCTTGACAATTTCTCCCAAATATTGGACTAACGTGTTCTCAGAAGACAGTAGATTTATTAGTCATACTTTAAAAAATAAAATATTGCCTTCTTCTCTGTTCTTTTTTTTTTTTCTTCTCTGTTCTTGACATTTCTTCTCTAGCCTCTGCAATTGGCTCAGAAAGTGAAATTTTAGTCCCAGTTATTAGGAGACTTTAAAGTCGTTTATATTATTCATGTGAAAATAGTTTCAGCATCTTTAGAAAACCCTCAATGTTTTCTTTTCTTATTCATGTGAAAATAGTTTCAGCATCTTTAGGAAACCCTCAATGTTTTCTTTTCTGTTAGGAAAATATTACACATCAGATTATCTTTCTGCTGTTCTTTTTTAAGCATCTGTTGGTATTTTCCTTTCTTGCAGCATATAATCAAGTTTCACAGAGCTTCTAAGGCAAACAAGAAGCCCGTTCAGTTACCTCGGGGAATGGTGAAGTCACTCTTGTATCAGATCCTAGATGGGATTCACTATCTGCATGCGAACTGGGTATTGCACAGGGATTTGGTAAGTTGACCTGAAGTCAGGTTTATGGCGGAAAGAAGCTTTGACAGCTGATTGCTTTGCTACTGTGTCCAGATAACAGGGTTTGTTCTGGGGAGAGTACAAGCCTGAAGATGCTATAAAGGGTGAAAGGGGTGCTGTAGTTTCAGAGCATCACCCTGTTTTGTACTTTGTGTCTTGTGTACTCTTCATCTCTGCAGAGGTAAAAAAGAGCATATTTCTTTTCCTAAATTTTTGGTTTTTAAGTCCATTGATTTGTTTTACAAGTAACATAGATGCCATACACCCTCTAGAAATTAATATATTCATGAACTTGAAAATTTCTGAAGCATATTAAATAGTAAGATTTTCATATTAAGAGGGGAAAACAGTAATGCTGTCTGCTTTTCTTTTAAACCCACAAGTTGTTTGGAGCCCTGATAGTGGAGTGCTTCAGTGCTGGGCTGCTAATCGAGATAGCTTGAATTCACCAGTGGCTCCTTAGGAGAAAAATCTAACAGTCTGCTTCTGTAAAAATTATAGCCTTCGAGACTCTTCGGGGCAATTCTACTCTGTCTTACCAGGGTTGCTATGAAGTTGAATTCTCTCTACAGCAGTGAATGTGGTTTTGTTCTTATAGATACATTGGTTAGCAATCTTTTAGGCACATAGACATTTATTAATTATAATTGGCATATATTATTGCGATGTCTTGTTGTGCCAGGTGTATTAACTTTTTAAGACTTAAGATTTTTTAAAATTGACTTGCCTTTTTTTACTTTATGAAACAAAATAGTTTATCAAGCCTTTTTCCTCCTTTCTAGGATATTGTTGTAAGCTAAGTATTTATAGATTTAAATAGATTAAGCACCTAATTGCTCTTTTTTATTACATAATTACAGGTAGTTTTTATTATTCTTTTTTTGCAGTTCTGTAGAAAGATTTCTTTCAGGACATTCATTTCAAACAGTTGCTGTGTAGTTTAGTTTTTAGGGAAAAATAAGTGAGTGGAGTTCAAGGGATCCGTGACCTGCCCCTGGTGCAGGCATTCTCTCTAAGCTGCGCAGTATGTAGTATAGGAAAATCTCTGGGCTTTCTCAAAAAAAATTTTTTTTTAAATTTTTATTGTATTATTTTTATGTGTACCGTCAAGTCAGATCTGACTGATACAGGAGGAGATTGCCCCCTCCTTTTCCAGCAACACATCTGGTGGATTTGAACCGCGTACCTCTGGGATTGCAGTGTAGCGTCTTGCCACTAGGCCACCAGAGCTCCCTACAAAATACTTTTAATGGTACTCATTCAATGTGGATTGAAGCTCAACATCAAGTAAACAGATATTCTCACCATTGGGCTGATTGGCAGTATCCTGATAGGTAGTGAAGAGATTAAGATTATTAACAGCTTTAATTCGCATGGCTCCACATTCAACACTTTTGGTACCAGCGGCCAGAAAATCAAAAGATGAATTGCATTGGGAAAGTTCATTGTCAGGGACATCTCCAGAGTACTGAAAACCAATGATGTTAGTTTGAAGACTATGGTGCACCTGATCCAGGCCATGATGTTTAGTATTACTTGCTATACATCAGAAAGCTGGATAATGACTAGGGATGATAGAAGGGATGGTGCCTTTGAGCTGTGGACTGGAGAAGAGTATTGAATATACCATTGACGGGTATGAAAACAAACAAGTTTGTCCTGGAGAGAGTGAAACTAGTCTTCTCTTTAGAGACTGATTCTGAAGCTCCATCTGACTTTGGGCATGTTGCAAAGAGGCATCAGTCCTTGGAGATGGACATTATGCTAAGGAGAGTGGAGTGACAGCATAAGAGAGGAAGACCCTCAATGAGATAAATTGATCCAGTGACTGGGGTAGTTGGTGTAGATGTGTCACAGACAATAAAGTTGGCTCAGGATAGAGCAGGGTTCAGAGCTATTGTACAAAGAGTCACTATGAGTCACAGACGACTTGATGGCACATAACAACAACAACAGCAACATTTTACATCTAATTCTCATACCTAGCAAGTCTTCAGACTAGAACCAGTAATAGAACAGAAATTTGGTTGAAAAAACTCTTTTTTTATGGGGACTTTACTTTCAATATGATGACATTATTTTACTTACAAACAAGGGCTTTTCAAGGTGTTGTTGTTGTTGTTATGTGCCATCAAGTCGCTTGCAACTCATAGAGAGTTATGATAAATGCTTTGGCTATTTATGAAAGTAAAAATAAATTGTCATCTCTGGGAGACCTGGTGGTCTGGTGGTAAGATACTGCACTGCAATCCCTGAGGCACATAGTTATAATTCACCGGCTGCTCCTTGGAGGGATGAACAGTCTCCTCCCATGTGATTTCCTGCCTCTGGAAACATGCTGGAGAGTCAGCTTTGAGTTGATTATGACTCAGCAGCACGCAATAACAATAGGGATAAAATGTTGTTGTTAAGTGATGATGAGTGGTAGACAGCTTGTCAGTGTCACAGTGTTAGCACCACAAGCAACCGCGAGTTACCTCTGTATAGCAAATGGACAGACCAGTGCTATACCACTTAGAAGAATGCTTGTCCAAAAACAATTAAAACCAGGCCTGAGGGCCACAGATTAAAATCACCCACTTTTGGCTTGGTAGCATAACTTTCTATCTGTTAGGCCAACAGAACTCTCTATGTTGTTGTTGTTGTTAATGTTGTTAAGTGCTGTGAAGTCGTAGATGACTCATGGCAATCCTATGAATGAAAGACCTAAATAATTGTATAACTTTCATTGTTTCTCCACGTTCATAAAATTTCTGGAGGCAAGCTATTTTGGAAGTGGATGCCACTCCTGCTTCCAAGCTGGAGCTAGGGAAAAGTTGCCTGGTCTTAAGCTGCTGACTCTTTTATGATCTGTAGCAGAAAGCAAAAAAAAATGGCTAAGGGCCATGGCTTTCCTGGAGTTAGTTATTTACCAAGATAGGTCTAGATATTTTTGTCTTTTTTTAAATTAGTTTTCTTAACTTTATGAATACTTATGTTTATTAGATAAATATAAACTTATTTTTGAAACCTGTTTTTATGTTAATAATGTGAAGCTCTCTTGAACCATCTATACAGTAAAATCTGTGAGAAACACATAGATTCTTGTCAGAAATGGAAAACACATATTTTCCACTCAGAGTGATAGAAAGGGAGGGAAACTGTACCTTGTCAAAATTGGAAACTTGTGAGAGCTCAAGAGTACAAGCAGATCCACATCCCTTGGGTTTATCTGAAATCAGATAAACCACTGTAGTGAAAAGAATTAGTAAGAGACCTGACTTCTTTATTCTCTGTTTTTGGACACCCTCTTTCTACTGAAGTATTCAAATATTTCTCTTTGATACAGAGCTAAAACAAAGCATCTTACTTGTCATCAAGTTAGTTCTGACTCATAAGTGACTATTGGGTTTCTGAAGTTGTAAATCTTTACAAGATGCCTCTCTGTCTTCTGAGGAGAGATGCTGGTGGAATCAAACAGCCAGAAACTCAAAGCCTTTGGATTATTACAATTTGCTACAGAATTCACCTCCCCATTAGCATATGTGCTGTATGTATGTAGTTAGTACTGACTCAAACATGTTTTCAGAGGCTGTATGGGAGGAATTGCCCAGAGATAGTGTACAGGATGCTTAGAGGAGTTTTGATGGCCTAGTACAGAAAGGGTTAAGCTGCTAACCAGAAGGTGGGTGGTTCTACCAATTGCTCCTCCCCTAAGGATTTCCAGCTCTAGAAACCTGCTGGAAGGTTGTTATGAGCAGAACTTGATGGCAGTAGGAACATTCCATTCCAGTACTAGCAACAGGGGGAAAGCATTGACTATACAAAATTCTAAAACAGACTAGAAATTGTTGCTTTTTGTCATAACCATATACTAAACAATTCATTCCCACATTCCACTCCTCTTGATATATCACTTCTCTCTGTAATAGTTGAATTGTCTATTATCCAGTGTATTTTTCCATTCTGTAATGAGATTTGTCTACTGCTGGTTTCCCCTTCTTTGGCATGACTTTCTCCAGCGGTCCAGCCCATGGTGGCACAGTACTATGCGTAAAAACACCTTCCTTCTATGGGTCTCAGCCACAGAGAGAGCGATGGAGCCTTTGTTTCATTAAGACTACAACCTTAACTCTGCCATTCTTGAAGGAAAAGTTCTTACCATGTTCTTTTTAAATATGTCTGCCTTCTTGCTGATTGGAAATTCCATTTTGGAGTTTTGATATTGTGTAGTTCTCAATTATGGCTACATTATGATGCATGCAGTAAACTGTATATCTTTTTCTTAAATTTCTTCTTCATTTGTGTTTGTATTTTCAGAAGATATATTTGCTCTGTGAGAACAAATGGTCAACTTTAGGTAAAATGTCAAAATTCTTACAGATTCATAGGTTTCTAATCTTGTGAGCTAGACCAATTGGTTGAATTACTGATTGAGCAAAAGAAATTTTATACAAGATAGTCCTATCTCAAAAGTGGACAGTTGGCATAAGCAACCTCAAAGCACCATTTTAGTAATACCTCAGAATGTAATAGAATCTTTTGCTTAATTAAATATATTAATAGAAATACTGGTTTGGGTAGTACAATTCTTAATTCCTTTTATTTATTTATTTTACAGAATTCATATATATTGTGTTTCATATTTTCATTCATTGACGTGTTTCATATAATCTTCCCCCTGCATTGTGTGTTGTTGGGGTTTTTTTTTTAATAAATAAAATTTTTATTTTATTCCAGTTTACTTTCAAAGTTTGTATACATTGTTTTTTACACCTGATCTTTCCCATTTCCTTTATCCACCCCACCCTCTCCCCCAGTCATATTATGTGACCCTATGATTAACACCCGCCCCCCCATCCTCACTCTTAACTCTCCCCTACCCCCTTGGATCTGCATATTCGTTCTACAGTAATGGTTTTATACAGTATTTGTCCTTATGGGAGTGAGTTAGTTCACTTAGCATAATGATCTTTAGTCCCTCCTAATGAATTCCCTTTTAA